GAGTTATGACAGACACTGTTGCCAAATATGAAGAAGAGAAGGAGATGCTATTTGCACGCTATGAAAAACTACGTGAGCAAGAGGGTTCCTTTTTCTTTTGTTCCTATCGGCAAATAGATACAGCATAAGAGTAATTCTTACAATTGTGCTCTCAGGTAAGAAAGAGAAGAGCATGCTATCTGAACATGAGAAAGCTACTGCTGAAAAGATAGCTCAATTGGAGGAATCCCTCAAGAAGAAAAAACAGGTGAAGTAAATCTTCTTGCTTGCTTTCTGCCATGTTCTTATATCGAGACATTTGTAATTATGCACTTTCCTGTAAGCAGGATGACAAAACCTTCAGCATTTTGAGGAAGAGCCTCGGATCTTTCCTTGGAAACGCTTCAGATGAGGACTTTCCCCTTGATGAGTAAAATATTTTTCCAAGTGGTCAGTCTGCTTACCACTAGCTGTTTTTTTTCTCAATGAAAACAATGCTTAAAAGCACCAATGTGGAGCATTTGTAGTCAAACTGTGAATCCTTTCTTGTGCGTTTACTCTCGTCAAACTTGTCAGTTCACTTAAACCCATGAACTTCCAAATTTCCATCGAGTTTACTTTTTGCTGTTTGTAAACTGAATTTTGGCACTGTATGAAGTGGTTCGAGTTAATGTTTGTAGTCCTTTCCCTCTGCCTGCTGCCCTCGTCGCCTATAATTTGCTGTGATTGTTGATGTCGTGAGATTTGGTGGATGAAGTAGCATGTGGTATATGCTATAGCATCCTTATTCCGCCGTGGCCATCATTTCTCGGATTACCACTAAAAATGTACTATTTATGTTCCGCAATAGTTTTATCATATCACAGCAAATTTTCAGTTTACTAGTTGTCCAAGTTAAGGCTAAATTGAAACTAGCATGAATTTAATTTGTTTAATTTGTAACAGTGATAGTGAGTAGTACATAACAGAATATTCAGACAATAGCTGGATGCTGAGAAACAGAGTCGACCTAAATTTGTCCCTCCATTTTTCTTTTTAAGTTCCATTTTTTTTTTTTTCTCTGTTGTCTTTAACTGTTAAAACTTCCAAGGAGACTTGTTTCTATAGTATTAAACAAGTAGTCAGCTTCATGCCCAACTAGTCAGTAGAAAATCAAGCAAGTTTAAAATGAATGTGTGAATTTGAGAATTATGGCATCATTTAATTAATCTTTATTCATTTGCTAACCGAAAATAGACAACAAATTTGAGCATGCTATTTATTAATATCTACTTCTGTAAATTTAGCTATAACTAGTTATCATCCTGTGCACATGCACAGATGTACATAAAATATTATAAGTAATATGTGTGAATTTAATATTAAAATTATAGATGATATACATATCACATTTCCAAGATATGTGAATTTAATATTAAAATTCTAGAAAATAAACATATCACATTTTCAAGATATGTGAATTTAATATTAAAATTCTAGATAATGGACATACCACATTTTCAAGATTTAATCATTAGTAAAAATAAAATAATATTTATATAAACTATTTGAGTACATATGAATTACTATATTGATTAAAAAAAAATTGTGGGTAATGTAATTTTTATAATTTGGAGGGATCATGGTCAAATAATTTACTTGAAAACTTTATTATTATAATTATTATTATTATTATTATTATTATTATTACTATTGTAATAATTATTATTATTACTATTATTATTACAACGACAATTGTTTATAAGATTTTAAAGGTTTTTTACTATACTGTTAAAACTATTTACTAATTATTTCTAAAGAAATTTGTTTTATGAAATATAAAATTATAATAATAATAATAATATCATTCATAAAAACTCATTAAGTGTAATCATGTATTTATAAAACATAATTAATAAAACCTCATTTATTT